GCACTGTGGGTAGCTCAGAAGGCAAAGAAGATTATTACCATGACAATATAGACTAAGCACAGTCTACATGCTCTGCATGATTATTGCATACACGTTGTCATGGTCTGGTTTACCCCTGGAGCTACCCATAGAGCCCACATCTCCTAGCATGCAAAGGGATCTGTGAAAAGGACAATGTAACCCAATCAAATGGAATATCAGTCTTCAGGTTTTTGCCACTCATCTCTGTGCTGTCATGTGGTGGACTGTACCGTTACACCCGCAATAGGACCACCTTCTCTGGGTGGGAAATACCGCCAGCTGAAGCCCAGCTGAAGTCCAGGATCAAGTTTATTGCCCACATCACTGTACACAGAGCTGAGTGGCAAAAATCCTGAAACACATGAATCTTCTATCAGGAGACATTATATATATATAAGGCTGTGTATGTGTGTGCATCTGTGTGTGTGTGTGATTGTGCGTGTGTGTGTTGGTATTGTATAGGGGTTGGCAAAACAAAGAAATACTCAGACTGTGGGCACCTAAATATTATTAGGTCAAGATTCTTGGGTGGCTGATAGCTCTTGGTCTTGAATGATTTCTCTGAACTCATTTAATGATTGAGACTAATGTGTATAAAAGGAAACCTAGTACCCACCACAAGAGGCCAGTTGACCCTGGCTGCAGCCTCACTCTTGTGCCAGGAGGCCAGGAAGATGGTGAACACAGCCAAGGTCAGGATGAAGATAGTCAGGGAGATCCACTCATAGGCTTTCATCTGCTCCCAGTTGTACGGTGATGCTGTTACTTCTGCTATGATGAAGCCTACAAGGCTTAGTAACTGTATACAGGAGTAAAAAGTATATGGCTAATGAGCAAACTTCCATAGCCTTTTTGAGACTATGGGCAGTGGATTGTTAATCCACTGTATCTGAGCCAATTAAATTAGTATTGAAAGGCAGTCAGTCCATCCCTACTTTTCTGGCACCTTTCAACTCTCCAACCAAAGTGAGACGCCCTGCTGACTTTCATGTACACCTGGGTGGAGTGAGGAAAGCTGTGTAACTGTAATTGAACTGCCTCTCCCATAGGACACAACATCTAGAATTCATGAGTCTACATTATGATATCTAGACACTGGTGAAAGTTTTGTTGTGTCAATAATTCTCTCTCCAGGTACACAAGTGTGACATACTGAGATTGTTTAGCAGGTATGCAATAAAATGTTATAAAAAATCTCACCATTTGTACTAGTTTGAGCACTCCTAACCCAGACTTGAGGAAGTTGAGGTCTACAGCAGGAGGCCCCCATCCATTCTGCTCCATCATTCTGTGTTGTTGGATGGGTATCCTCTATCAGGCACTCACAATGACGTTGTACTAGAGAGGAGACAAAAATTTATACAGAACCATCTTACAACTTTCCTAAACTTTCGTTGAGCTTATTTTACTAAATGCTAAAAAACCTTAACCGTTACGTCAAAGTTGAATATGAACAAGGAAAGAGTAAACCAATTATGGTAAATTTTTAACCTCCTTGAGCAAAACAGAACCTTTGATGATTATTAAATGTAAGTATAGCCGAATTGAAGAAATTGTTCTAGTACTAAACTAAACACTGCACGAGTGAAGTCGTGCTCGTATTGAGGAGGGGATGTTAACTGTCAATATGAACGTTTATGTTAGCCGTGGCGACTTTTGATTCGGGCTTACATTGCAATACCCTCGTGGCGACTTTTGATTCGGGCTTACATTATATTGCATTACCCTCAGGTTAGACGTTATCACATTTAGATCACATCATGAGCATATCAATAACGTTTCAGATACCTATTTCTTTCCGGGACGCCTTGTGGTTGACACTGTCACTCCATCAGGATCACTTAAATACGTTACTTATACTTGAAATCCACAAACTCCACGCATACACAGACACAGTCACCCGGAAGTATAAGCATGACCTCTGAACTCCCTGAGATTTACTGCTCGAGAGATTTACTGCAAATCTTGAGAAAAGTGATAGGCGGCGCTTTTGTTTCATGGAAGACTAACTTCACACTGACTTCGACTTGATTTCCCTGAATTTGCCTCAATTGCAGGGAGCCCACAGCCTCTGCAGTTAGAATCAAGTAGGGAGATAGCACTTGTTATCTCCTACAAGCATCTCTCTTATCTCTCTTATGAGTTCAACTTCAATCTACACAGATAGATTGACAGACAGACAGACAGACAGACAGACAGATAGATAAGGAACCTCCGCCAGCCTCCGTCCAGGTCCCGTCCGTAAGTGCCCAAAACAGCCCGCCAAGGCGCCGCGCGGCCCTGGTTTTGAATAGTGACCTAGGGTTTTGAACTTTGTGCTAGTGCCATGAACATGGGGGCTGTCCCTGGTACTGACGTCACAATCATACTCCCTTTTACCGATATACCTGCTAGTTGTCCCTTTTTAGCTATCCCTTGTCCTTATGGTACATCATGGTGCTGATATTGCCATAGACATGTTAACGAGAGAAGTGACAACCATGTAACTTACATGGGATCTGTCCCTGATACTGATCTTAGCTGTCGTTGTCCTGACGGTGCTACATACAGCTTGGTGAGTTGTCCCTGGTACTAATATTGCCACAGACATGTTAACGAGAGAAGTAACATCCCTGTAAACAGAAACAACAGTGATCACCCATAGTTAATTTGAGCTAAGTGATGCGTCTTTCGTAGCTTCATGTCATATTTAGAATTCATCATCACATATTCCACTTATGCATGCTCGTGGCAAGGCATGTAAGTTGTATTAGAGGAGGCGTTATCTGTAAGATTGTGTCACCATCTGTCAATTGAAAATTCGGCTGATTCACATGTAATTGTTCATTTTCAAACGTATCCAAGAACTTGTTTCTTTTAGTAAACAGCATGAATTCAGAGACATTGTGTGATCACAGCAATTACAACAGTCAGCAAGGTAGAATTGTCATATAATTTTTCATTGTCAAGATTGAACGCAAAAGTAATTACTCACTGTCATCTCTCAGTGGCCCTTGTATCGAATGCGATAAACGGTCTCCAGTTTCAGAACCGTCAATTTTCGGCAGTATCATCTTACCTGTAGCAGGTTCTAAAACGAACTTGACACTGCTTGAAGTAGTAAACTCAATTACAGTCACTGTCACTTGAAATCAATAAATCAATGTCGTCCGAAACGTTTTACATCACTGGCGAAATAAGTTTGGATAAATTAGAGAAGGATAGATTAGACGTGTCAGACTTAGCTAAAATAAGATTTATAGTCAATTGAGTCAAGCACAGCAGAGACCATTAATATTTCAGGAAATGAAATTACAATGTACGCTCCAGTAACGCCTTGTAATTCCCCACATCAATCCGATTTAAGAGCTACAATGCAGATGTACACATGTATATATGGAAGTTTTTTTTACATACGAGTTCACCTAGTAGGCTTTTGAAAGTTTCCATGTCTGCAATGTTGTAGCATGAAAAGGCTAAGTCTCAACTTTTACAAAACGCCTGGGTTAATCACAAAGGGACGTTTTCGTCCACTACTTTCCACAGCAATGAAGCAGACAGGTGCTGGCCGCCATGTTGGTGTCCCCGCCCGCATATCAATTAATCGTAGCTCAAGGGTATACAGCATTTTCATCAGTAGGTTTCAGGTATTCACGTCTTTGAGATATTGAAAATTACTAGCGCTTATTTGAGAGAGTCAGAAGACGTCCACTGTAATCACTTCAGCTATGATACACTGAAATGTATAGGGACGTCATAATGACGTCACGTGAAAAAGCTCTTAAGTCCACGCCACACTGTCCTCGTATCGAAAATATAACTAATCATACCTTCCCGTTGAAACCTACGTCGCAGATCAAAAAAGTTATTATTACGATGTACACATAAGACTTCAATATCAT